AGAGAGAGAGAGAGAGAAAGAGAGAGAGAAAGAGAGAGAGAGATGGGGAGAGAGACAGACAGACAGACAGACAGACAGACAGACAGACAGACAGACAGACAGACAGTGCTGGGAGCTCTCGTGGCCTAGAGGTTAAGGTGTTCCCCTCTCATTCAAAGGTCCAGGATTCGAATCTGGGTAGCGACGGTAAAATCTCCTTCTCTAATATTGTCACCTTTCACCTCATATCCTGCTCTCCAACAATGTTCTGTCGTCTGCTTTCGTCTCCACTTTCTGCATCCACCCCCTCACCTCCTTTGCCCACTCCTCTGGGCTCCTGACTTTTTCTGCAGCCTTTCTACTGTTACTCCGTGGCTCCTTCTTACTACTGTCTTTCAGTCACACCCCTGATCTTCTGGTAGGAAAGATCTACACCTAGTCTTCTCGGACAAGGGCAAAAAATCTCGGAGGTCCCGTAAAAATGTTTAATGTGTCCCGCGCGCTCATATGACCTTATGCAGTTGTGAACGCCGTAAAACACTTATCAAAGAAACACTCCATTCTGAGTGTGAGTAAAGAGAAGCACATCGACACAATAACGATCATATAATGCTGGGATGATCCGAGACAGACAGACAGAGACAACAGAGGGAAAAGACAAAAGTGGGAACCACAGTGGCGCCCTTCAACCACCCACATACTCTCGATTCTGTAACGAGACTAGACTACCGAAGCGACTTCGTTATGTATTAATTCAACAACTCGCTGAGGAAAGTTCTATCGGACATTTTGTTGTGAAACTCATCATTTTCAACTTCCATTTTCTCAGAACTAGGTACTGTGCAGATAGAAAGAACTTTGTAATTCTGAGGTGAGATAGTCGTTAGGTTACCGGACTCGTAATCGTGAGGTTGCAGGTTCCGGGGCTCGAGCCTCAGCTCAGTCCGACGTTGTGTCTTTGCGAAAAAGCACTTTGCACGATAATATTCCCACATAATAATAATAATAATAATAATAATAATAATAATGATAATAATAATAAT